CTCCGGCGTGTCATACCGCGCAATCATGTACATCCCGGCCAAGCTCCCCAAAGACTTTTGGCAGAAGATCACGAGCGGGGTCAACAATGTCCGCCTGATGGTGAAGCGCGTCTTCATCACCGATGATCTCGGCGAGGAGTACATGCCCCGCTGGCTGAGCTTCCTCAAGGTCACGGTGGATGCGGATGACTTGCCGTGAGTGGATGCGGTGCGAGGGAGTCGGCCGGTCGGATCGTTGATACCTTCACAGGCTCAACGTTTCCCGGGAGACCCTTCAGAACCATCGGTTCCTCCAGCAACTCCAGCGCATCCTCGTCCGCAAGGCCATCGACCTGTTCACCCGCCTCGCGACGGACGAGCCGGAGAAGTACAAGGAGGTGTCGAAGCTTTACGGCAACGCACTCCGCATTGGTATGCTTGAGAGCCAGAAGGACAAGATCAAGATCGCCAAGCTTTTGCGGTTCGAGAGTACTCGCTCGGACTACACCTCGCTCGAGGAGGTGAGTCGTACGATATGGTCGTGCTGGTCAACCGCTGATGGGCGCAGTACGTCGACAACCGCAAAGAGGGCCAGAAGCAGGTGCGCCGTCTCATCGTCGTCCGATGCGTGCGCTGACGCCTGTTGCAGATCTACTACATGGCCGGTGTCGGCGAGAAAGCCGAAGACCTGGCGCGCTCGCCATTCGTCGAGAAGCTCAAGGCTCGAGGCTACGAGGTGTTGCTCCTCAACCTCCCGTCGGACGAGCCGATGATGGGTGCGCTGAGCAACTTTATGGGTATGCAGACGCAGGACGTTTCCAAGAAGGGGCTCAAGTACGGCGACGAGGATGAACACGAAGCGGAGAAGAAGGAGCTCGACGCGCAGAAGGTCGCTTTCGCCCCGCTCATCGACTGGCTCAAGACGGAGCTCTCGGGTCAGATATCCGATGGTACGTCGACAGTTGTTCCGAGCTTCTTGGCTGATTCGCCCAGTCGTCCTGACAAACCGCCTCGTGACGTCGCCTTGCACCATCGTCGTCGACTCGATGGGCTGGTCCGCCAACATGGCCAGGATCATGGCTGCGCAGATGGGCCAGGAGGACGACCCGATGATGGAGATGATGAAGAACTTGCCCAGGGTCCTGGAGATCAACCCCAAGTCGCCTCTCATCGAGGGTCTGCTTGAGAAAGTCCTGGACCTGCCAGAGGATGATGACTCGTTCGACGCGCAGGAACTCAAGGAGACGATCCGCGTGTTGTTCGACACGACGCTCGTGCGCAGCGGTTTCAGCGTGGCGGACCCGACCTCGTGAGTGCTACGAACCTGCCTTGTAGCTAACGGGCACAGGTATTTCGAGCGGGTCGAGGCGCTCCTCCGCCGATCCCTCGGCGTCTCGCTGACCGCCAAGGGCAGCGCGTTCGTTCGCCCAGCCCCGCCCACCGCCATGGGTCCCCTGTCGGAGGAAGGCGTCGGCGACGATCAATTCGTCATGAACGCCGAGGACCTCGGAGAGAACGTCGAGTGGGTGGACTGGCAGAAGGTCAAGGAGCAGGCAAAGCACGACGAGCTGTAGTGGGCGAGTGGCATCGGCTCCATTGTCAATTTGACTCGGTAACGGAGCACGAGCTGGGTATAGCTTGCAGCTGGCGGCTGGAGCACGATGAAACGCACGTGGCGGAAGGTATCATCGAGAGTACGCATAGCATAGCATGCAGAGCATGAGGTGGGATGGGCATCGTAATTTGAATGGTCACATGCCCGTCCGGTCCCAGGCACCGGGTAGGCGAACGGACCGGTAATGGTCACTTGATGTGTCTGCGTCTCACACTTCTATCTCTTGTCATTGCACTGCACTCCCAATCATACCAGCGGATCAGTCACCAGCGTCATGTCTAGCTTGCTCCGCGTGCCAAACCCTCGCAGTACCGTGCTGCTGATATGCGACGTCCAGGAGCGGCTCCGTGAGTCGATTGATCCGCTCTCGGGTGCCGATTGGCCCGCTGGCTTCGCCTGGTGCTGCATGTAGTCTGATCATCCGCAGGGGCAGCGGTCCACGGTTTCGACGCTATGAACGGGTCCATCGTCAAGATGATACAAGCAGCCAAGGTGGGCCATGCTGCCACGGTTGACCGGCAGAGCACTGACGCGCAGTAGCTCCTCGAGGTGTGTGACGAGTTGGTAGTCATGTCTTGGTATTGGATCTGAACTCCAAACTCAGATGCGAGTACTTGCAACCGAGCAGAATCCGAAAGGTGGGTTCTCCCGATCGGTATACGCGTTCGGTGGCTCAGCATGCAGGTCTGGGTGTCACAACGCCGGAGATCGGGCTTGCGGATGTGCCGGAGAACCTCAACCTGGGTGTCATTCCCAAGAAGAAGGTCCGTCTGACTCTTCCCCTTCTCTCAGCTCCCCATCTAGGTTTCAGCTGGTGGGCCCTGGTTCATGGCCCCCGCACCGCTGCCCGCTCGCTGATCCGCCCAGTTCTCAATGATGACCCCTGAGGTCGAGTCAATCATCGCAGAGCACAAGTTCGAGACGGCAATCCTGGTCGGCATCGAGGTGCGCATTGTCCGCTTTCATCCCGGACCTGTCTGACGACTCTTCCGTGCAACTTCTGCTTGTTACTCACCTCCAAAGTCGCACGTTTGCGTGTTGCAAACCGCCCTGTCCCTCCTCCGCTCTGGACTCGGGGTGTACGTCCTGGCCGACGCGGTGTCGTCTTGTAACCGGCAGGAAGTTCCTATCGCGCTGTCAAGGATGCGCCAGGCGGGAGTCATGGTCTCCACGAGCGAGAGTATCATCTTTGAGCTGCTCGGTGGGTTGGCATCGACTGACAATGGACTCACCTACCGATCTCGGCTAGAGGGATTTCGGACGGGGCGACGAGCTGACTCGCTCGCAGGGGACGCAGAGAACCCGAACTTCAAGCCCGTCTCGAACTTGATCAAGGCGGAGAAGAACACGACGGCGATGGCACTGGGAACGCTGCTGGACTCGGCGGACAAGCCGAACTCGTGATCGGCGGACAAGACAGGCATGCATGTCATAGCTGTATTGTGGCGTATGCACCGCGCTGTCACTCCTTGTCCTCGGGGTAGAACAGCCGCATCGTGTTTGTCCACACTGCCGCTGCCAACTCCTCCACCGCCATGCCCCTTGTCCGCGCGACGACGTGGGCTACCAGCCCGATCTCTGCGGGCTCCATGCGGCCTTTGACGCCGTGGTCCGGCTTCCACCCTTGGGGTTTGGAGACTTTAGGGATGTGTAGGGGTGACTCGGGTGGGGGGAGGTGAGCGTGGGACGCTTGGGTTGATGTGCAGGAGCACCACGGGGAGTCTGGCGGCGTCAGCGGCGCACCTCGATGTCATTGATATACCATGGCGATTGATACGACCACGAGAAGCCGGATCGGAGCATTCAGATTGGGTCGTGTGCGGGCTCTGAGCGAGGAGACTATTGCGTACCTGTCTCCAGGAGAAGCCGGTCCAAGGGTATCGTCTTCACCACCTCCAGGTTCTCTTCCGTCTTCAACGAGCATCCATTCACGCCGACATGTAGGCCCATGCCAACCTGGATGGGGGGGTCAGCAGACGTGTTGTGAAGCATGACATGCCCACTCACCAGCTCCTGCACCTCCGCTTTGGTCCCCGTGAAACTGTGCACCACCCCGCCTTTCCATCCCTCTCCTCGATCTCCCCAACCCGCAGCCCTCAGCGCCGCTACGAGATCGACGTGCGACTCGGATGTCCGCGAGTGCAGGAACATGGGTAGCTGGAACTCCCTTGCCAGGGCGAGCAAGGCTGGGAGGTGCTTAAGCTGGGTCTCGCGAGGAGAGTGATGCAGCCGGTCGTAATCTGAGAGATGTTAGGGGGTTTCAGCCAGCACATGGGGCCTGCACGTGGGGCCTAGTGATTAGGAGGCAAATCACGCTGCGGTCTGAGAGATCACACAGAATCCAGCAGCCAGGAGGATAGTACAGTCTTCGAACGAGGACAAGGCGACGCGGTGCGCCCTCGGAACGGAGCTCGGGTCGTACTCACCCAGACCGATCTCGCCGACCGAGATGACCCGCTTCGACCCGCCCTCGCCCCGGTCCTCTGCGATGAGCGTTCTCAGATCCGCCAGGTACCTCTCGGCACCGCCGGGGTACGACTCGATCTCGCTGGCGGACGTTGGGTGGCATCCGGCGGTGGAATGGAGACCTACAACTACGCATCAATCGTCGTGTCCAAGGGTTCCCGGACCGACTCGTCGCTCACCGAAGCACCGGGCCAGCTCCAGCGCCCTTCTCGACTCCTCCAGAGACGTCCCCGTGATCAGGATACGCTCGACCCCTTTGCCCTTGGCTCGCGAGACCACCGCCTCGAGATCCGACGAGTGCTTCTGCCGGCCATGGTAGGTGCCCTCGAACTGGGGATCCGTGAGGTTCACCGCGATGTCTTGGGGGGTTGGTCAGCGGAGCGAAGTGTCTCTTACACAAGTCCTGTTCGTGCGCCTCACCAGCAAACTTCATGCTGCGGTCGACGAGCCTGTACGCGAGGCCTCGGGTCGCAGCCAGCATGTAGAGGGTGAACAATGCCAACTTGGTAGAACAGTCGGTTATGTGGAACTCGGACCGGTCGTGGTCATTTCCAAGTTGGCGTTAGGGTGGTGGCACGTAGGTTCATCAACGGGTTGTCTTGTTCATGTCATATCCCCATGCGTCTCTCACCTGGTGGACCACAACGCCCCGAGCCTACAGCTGGCTCGCGGGAGAACACATCCACGTCGATGCATGCATAGCTCGGCCCTCTGGCACCGCAGCAAATCAGCTATGCAGCAACAACGGATTCAAATTCATGGGGAGACGGAAGTATTTTTTTCGAAAACGCGTGGCGGCGATCGCCGCCGCGCGCCAAACTCTGTGGCACGCCCTCCGTTTGGCACTTTGCGACCTCTACCTCTTCTCGTCTTTTCGACACCAAATCGACGCTTTCCAATGCATTCCAGACCAAAAAGGCATGCAGGACAGGCCAAAAAGCGACCCGGACAGGATTCGAACCTGCAACCTACAGATGGCAACCGCACCTTCGAGTCCTGCGAAGGTCGAAAGTGATTAGTTGGAATCTGACGCGCTACCGTTGCGCCACCAAGTCATCGTGTTTGTGCCAATTTCCAGGCTGTATATAAGGCTATGAACGTATAGGCTTTGGCATGCTCAGGTGATACGAACGCTTCCAGCCTGCAAACCTTTCGACTGTACTTGTCGCTTGGACGAGCGAGAAACGGTGGCTTGGTGCTTGACAGGTCATGAAATGATTGGAAAACCGTAGAGGACTTGGTACCTGCCCGTGTAATTTCACACCTGCGGTACACTTGTGCTTTCATGGCAAAAGAGGGCGTAGTGACGCGTATTCAAGTCGAAAGCAATTCACGGTTACTACTCGGCACAGCCGTTTGGGCGTCACAGACGGGCCTTGTCCAACTGCCAAAACGTGACAGCAACTGCCACTTCTCCCATGATAAGACAAAGAATATCGGAAGGCCGGGCAAGGCGTGTCCATGTCACATGGTGGGGCTCACGGGGACGTCCCGACAGCTTCTGGGCAATCCCACTTTTGTCCGACAATGAGTTGGGGATCCCGCGTCTTCGGCCCATTCACAGCAAAGGTTCCGTTGGACGGCGAGGTCCGGTCGCCCCATCTAGTTAAAGTCTACGTTGGGCCGTGTCATCTCAGACCTTGTCCACCACGCGCGCCCGACCATTCGCCGAGCATAGCGATCCGGAGCCGGCGATGGTTTGCATCGTTGTGGACATTTCGGAGACTCCGCCTAGGCCCGAAGCCAGACTCGGCCGGCAGGACGATCCCCAGCCGTCCATCTTCCGCCCTAACGCTGTCAAACTTCTTTCGCTCCGCGGCGGTCGTCACCTGCCTGCCAGTAGGAGCTAAGGGTATGCCGGACGCAAACAGAGGACGGGGTGAGGGTCTGCTCCAAAGCCGAGAATCGCAAATATTCTTTCGGCAGGGCAAAGCCATAACACCATGCGAGCGTTCAATCGGGCGAGGCGACTTGCTCGTTCACGAGCAGTACCAATCCAACATGCGAGGCATAGGGCGGACCATCAACAAGGGATCCTGTATATTCATCTACAAGCGTCCAAGACCATACCAGTTCGGCCCTGTCCGGCGATATCGCCCGCTCGCCACTCGCCCCGCCACAACGCCTACTGCCTGCCAGGCGTTCAATTACCTCTTTGGGGAATTCCCACCACCTGCGTGGCACCGTCTCGCCAACTCAATCATTCCTCCATGCTCCTCGTTTTTGAGCGTCTTTCGACGTTTTCGAGCTGGAGACATGTAAGAGAAACGTTTAAGATGTCAAAAAGCAGCAAAAACAACCCACTGCGGGGATCGAACCCGCGATCTTAACCTTAATTCAAGGAGCAGCTTAAGCGTAAACTCATCGTAGGAAGGTCACGCCGTACCGCTGGGCCAAGCGGGCAAACAACGATTTTTGCTGGGTCTAGGCAGCATATAACAAGCAGAGATTGAAGGACACTGTTGTCACTCGCTGCCCGCTGTTGGTGCGCGGTCGTGAGTCGCTCTTGGGGGCCCATCCTGACATATCAAGACGAAGCGAGGGCTTCTGAAAGGCCACGAAAGTGAGTGGGTCTCGATCCAGTCCAATAGCAGTGTCCAGTGTCATTGCGCAAAACGCATCGAAGGTGAAGTGCTGCATGTCCTTCCGAGCCGACTACACTTTTCTCGTCTTCGTCTCCCATCTCAGGCGAGGCGAGCTAGAAAATGGGAGTATGAGGATGACGAGACGCTGCGGAGTGGGCAACGGAGATGTCTTCAGAACCGGCCGGGAAGACCGTGGACTAGCAGATCTCGATCGCTTTTAATACTGAAGCACCTCGGAGTAAGCAAGACTAGTGTTGCATCTCACACCGCCTTGCCCTGAGGCATCCTCCTCTTTGGAGGATCCTCCAGCACGAAGCTAGCTACGCTATGCAGACTCATACTCTCCTTGATCCTGCTCGCTTGCTGGTCCTCCTGCGGGACACCTGCTCCACCCAATCCGATTCCAAGCCCAATACCTGCCCCCTCGGCCTCCATCTCCGGCACGGGCTTTCTCCTCACACTTCGCGGACTCGCCGGGGTGGTGGCCATCCCGCTGGCGATGCTCGGGGAGGGGACCATACCCGATTTGGCGGACCTAGGTGAACCGGGAACGTACGAGTCGGTACGCGATAGCGTCGCCATGAGTTGGGCCGGGGACTCGGAAGCGCCAGGACCGGCGATGACGTGGTGGGTCGTCGATATCGGCGCGGAGATGTGGATGGGACCGTCGATACTGAGATTACGACGGGATCGGTCCCGCTCGTCCCGAGAGTGCGAGTGCGAGTGCGAGTGCGAGTGCCGGTCCTTCTCCTTTGGCGAGTCGGAACCCTTCCGTCCAAAGTGCAGGAACCGACCGAACCCTTTACCATGATCGCCCCGGCTCGGCAGGGAGTGCACCGCCATCGCGGCGGGCTCGTCCTGGCCCGTCGTCGCCATCGTGCCAAACTCGTTCACACTGGGCGACGCCGAGCTGCGATCGGTCCGGTCGCGCAGACCTGGAAACGTCGGTGTGGCGGGTGACACTCCGCCTTTCCACAGTCCGACGGTCTCTCTGTCCTTGTCTTTGATATTGTCCCGGTCCGAATCCTTGAACGGGAGCGGAGGCGCGTCCTTGTCGCTGACTCTCCTCCCAAAGGTCCTCGAGCTCATGTGCTTCAGTCCCTTCAGGCTGATCGAGTTGGATCGGCTGCGCTTCCTTTCCTTCTCGCCCTCGCCCTGGGCCAATGCGGGTGACGCCGGCGAGGGAGGGACGGGCACCGCAGATGGAGGCGAGCGGAGGAGGACGTCGACCATATCTGGGGAAACGGCGTGGGTGACGATATCGGGGTTGTCAAGATTCGGGGTCGGTGGGCGTACAGGTCGACGAGGCTTCCACTCGGTGGCGCCCGACGTGGTGGTAGCCGCGGCGGCCTGGGCCGCTTCCATGCGTTTGCGGGTCTCCTCGGAGAGCGGCGACGAGGTCGTCCCGGGTCGGGGAATGTCTTTGAAGTACTCTTGGATCGAGGAGGGACTGCCTGGAGAGCCGAGAGCAATGTACGGCACAGCCGGCCAGCTCGGTTGGGGCAGGTCATTGCTCGCAGCGGGTGGGGCCATCGCGGCTGTCCCCGCGAGACGAGCCGCTTCGAACGTAGTGGAAGGAGGGGCCGAGGCGGGATCCTCGTCCTCGGAGGGCACGTCGGGGTGGAAAGTTGCCGCGAGAGGAGAAGGTGTAGGGAGAGGGGCGGATCTCGGCGCGGGTGCGTTGGGACCGAGAGGCGGGAACTCGAGAGAGGCGACTTTCGCCGCCATGCGAGGGGTGAGCATGCGCGGGGAAGTCAGGCGGATCTCCTTGGGCGAGAGTTGACGCATGACTGGGGCGTCAGCACGGATCCTCCGCTTCCGCTTCAAACACGAAGCGACGCCGCACTCACGCTTCTCCAAATTATCCAGCTCATCACTCATGACCACTGCGCTACCTCTCTTGTCCAGCTCCTGCCTCAGCTCGGCCAGTTTCCTACTTGGGAGCACCACCATCGGCGCGTCATCCTCGAGCTGGATCGGGCTGGCGAGGAGATCGGCCACCTTGCCCGGGTCGAGCAGGAGCTGATCGCCGCTGACATCTGCTCCGCAGTCCTCGGCGACGGTATCTGACTCTGTGGCGGTGCCCTCGTCCTCTGGGAACTCGCCAAACGATCCCGAAGCGCTCATCGCGCGGGTGGGATCGGTCCTGGACGGCGTGCCGCGTTTTTGCGACTGCGATCTCTGGAGCTTGGCGTATTCGGACGAGTAGGACGGGAAGAGATGGTCGACCTGGGTGGTATCGTCGCTCGGTCGGCGGGACGACGACGACGACGTGTCTGGGGTCAACGCTCTCGCGCGAGTCCGATTCCGGTCCAGCTCGCGGAGGAAAGGGGTCGCCGATTTGTCCTTGACTTTTCGCACCAGACGGAGTTCCCGGATGCCTACTCCCCCATCCGACACACTCGAGAGCTTGCGGGCACGAGAGGGCACCGGTCCTAATCGACTCCACTCGTCGAACCAGCTCGCGACGTCCCGGTCCACGTCAAACTCGATGGTGCCGACGATGGCGCGGGGGGGAAGCGAGACGCCGCTGACAGGAGTGAGAGGGAATGTCGACGAGGAGTGCGACGATGTGCTCTGATGCGACACTTTGGTAGGGGTCGGAGTCGGTTCGGTCGAGTCGGGCTTGAAGTTCTGGCTGGGCAGTCTTGAGCGGCTCGTAAGCTCCAGTGGAGAAGGAGGGAAGACGTCTCGACCGACCGAGGAGGGTTTGCGGGGCGTCGTAGCCGGGGTGGAACCGCGCGAGGCCGAGCCGTGGAGGTACGGCGAGAACAGCGTGGTCCACGTCTGCACCGAGATCAGGGGGCCAGAAGTCTCTTCGACCGAGCCAAAGCTCGCTGAGCTCGACGCGGACGAGATCGAGCGGGGCGTTTCCGTTTGCGCCAGGTAGACGTCGATCCCCTGAGTCGAAGGGAGACCAAACTCCCTTGCAATGGCGAGGAGCATCCCACCGAGGGTAGGCTGGAGGGGGATCAGACGTCCCCTCCTCCAACGCTTGGACCGCTTCTCGGCTTCCTCGGCGGTGCTGGCCGACAGGTTGAGCAGGGATAGCGGCGGGACGACCGCGAGGAGATACGGCGAGTGGAATATCGATGTCGAGTGAGAAACCGCGGGGAGGCGGGAGGATGAAGCGGACGCCGCGGACAGGGTGGGGGACGCGGTGAGGAGGTTCGGAGACGAAGTCGGCGAAGGTGAAAACGGCAGCGAAGGGATGACGATACCGAATGACTGGGCGATCCGGCCGAGCTGTCTCGGAGACAGAGGCTGCTTTGGCGGCGGGTACCGTCGACTCGTCTGTGCCTCGTCGTCGTGGGACAGCTCCTCATTGTTCTGCTCCTGATCAACCTGATCCTGCTGTATCCGAACCTCTGGCATCGCACGCTCCTTGCCCTTGCCCCTGTGACCACTCTCCCAGCTTGTCGCCCGCGTGAGGTCGCTGTCGAACGAGGTCTGGAAGGAGGACGGGGTGGAGAGAGGCGAGCGGTGAGCCGGGCTCGGGCGGGACGGCCAGGCGAGCAGCGGGGAGGAGATGGCGGGGGCGGTGGACCCGCCGAAGGGGAGGGACATGGCGGCGGGTTCGACGTTGGATTATACGAAAGTATGCCGCGCTCTCCGTGTTTCTGATCGACTGCACGGGTGCCGTGCGTGCTCGATCCGCCCGCCCAGGCGCAGGACGCTCTCAATACTCGCAGCAAAGTCCGGTTCGCGGTGGGAGTCTTCGCTGGAATCGTTTGCGCAAACGTGATCGTGATCGACGCGTCTCGGCGTGGGTTCCTCCGACGCGTCCGACTGTAGTTGGGTCGGGTGCTGGTAAACGAGTGTGATTATGCTCGGTGCGTATACGTTGCGATGGACTGATTATAGGGCTTGGAGATGACGGTGGGTGGGTATGCAAATGAATGGAGGGAGGAGGATGAAGAACATTGACAAGACAGGGAAAGGATAGGATGACGGGAATGGGGCTGTTGGCCGTTTCTCTCGGCGCACTCAGGGACCACAGGCAGCCGGCGCCACGGGACGCGTCTGCGAATGGCCTGGCTCGCACTCAGCAGAGGAGGTGCACGGGTGTATGCATGCGCTCAGGTATGCATGTCCCAGCATCGCATCGCATCGTATCGTCTTGTCGCATGCATGCAAGTGCTGCGCGGTGCGGACAATGAGAGACGCCATTGCTGGTGACCCTTGCGGTGTTTCACACGCTCACTCACACTCGCGTTGTGACAACATTACGAGTGCTTTTAAACTTGGGTTCAACGGGGGAAGCCATCGTCGTCGCTCTTCCGCGCGCTCAACTGGCTTTTCTCCTCTTCAACTCGGTTTCATCTTTCTTCGTCTCCTTTTGTCGACCGCTCGGCCCATCATACAGCGTTAGCACCGCATAGACCTCCCCTAGACCCCGACACTGGGACCGCCGCCGACTCCGGGTACACTGACTCATCCGCTCGCTCGCTCGCTCGCTCGCTCGCCCGCCCACTCGCCCACGCCGCGCCGATGATCCACCTCTTCGCCCGCCTGTCCCGAGTCACCCGCCTCTTCCTCCTCCTCGCCTTGGTCATCGCCCTCCCGACGCTGTTCCTCCTCTACCCGTCGCACCGGGTCCCGCACTCCCTCTCGGATCCGTACCACTCGTACGAAGCCGGGGGGATCGACGGGCCGCACTGGCGCGCGGAGAAGCGGCCGGATTTCGAAAAGGAAGAAGCGCGGTGGCATGCCGGTGAAGAGGAGGATGATGAGGGTGTAATGTGTCTGGGCGATGAGTGTACGGTGGGAGGTATCGGTCAGAGTTGGATGGGAGGGGGAGGTGGGACCAGTCAGGCG